CATCCTTGAACTCACAGAGCTGAGACTTGGAGAAAAAAATAATAAACCCCATGAAAGTGAGGAAAATGCCAGGTAGTACCTCCTGCGGGTTAAACCCTGGGCCTGGAAAGCAGGTGAGGAAGGAGGTAAGAAAGAACAGACCATGCTAGAGCAGACAAGGCTGGGGCTGGGAGGAGAGGGGCAGGGATTCAGGGACCAGGTGTGCAGGGAGCATCTGGAAAAATGCAGGGGGCTCCGAGGAAGCCGGCTTATGAGATCAGGGGGTTGATTATGATGGTGTCAGCAGCTACCGCTTATGGGGCCATTACCACAAGCCACCAGCCACTGGGCAGATCTCTTCACAAACACCATCAAATTTCATCCTCAAAACAGCCTGATACAATTAGTAATAACTCTACTTACAGCTACTGGCTCTCTGCTGCTTCCAGATCTGGACCCTAGTGTCCAGCGATGGAGCTGAAGTTAGATGTCACCTGGCTCTTTAGGCTGTGTTTCTGGGGCAGAAGGAGAGGAACACGAATTGGAGTGTAACACGTTAGCCTCTGCCTAGCACAAGGACGTGTTTATACCGACTAGAATGCAGAGAACATTCTTTTGCGGCTTTTCGCAGCTTTAAGGAAGGATTCATTGTGAAGCCAGATATAGTTGACCACTTGGTCCCGTCTAGTCTTCTCCTCTCCAAACAGGCCAGCAGTTGCCTTAAAGGGAGAAAAATTAAACAAGGGGTATTACCATAATTTCAGGGACTAGATGACAGAGATAAATGCCTCAGAAAGGGGTTTGTCAAACTTTCCTGTCTTATGTTCTGTGGAACCCTGGCCAGCTGGAGATGCCACCACGGAGAGTTCTACAGCCACCTAAGATTGGGAAAGGCTGCATCTTCTGTCCTGCTCTTGGAGTTACAAAGCATTTTTCCCAGATTAAAATCTCTGTGAAATTCTTCAGTAAAGAAAGCAGTCAGCCTGTCTTGGTTTTAATTGCTCATTTCTCAAACTTAGCTGATCATGAGCTCCCCTTTAAAAACAATTTTTGACCACCAGTCTTTTATAGGCTGAGTCCATGGCAAGTACAGTGGGGCACCCTGGGCTCTATGAATGCTGGCCTAGATGCCTAGGAGGGTTCACAGCAGCAGAGAGAGCATTTATCTACCCCCATGCCCTGGGGCCTGCAGGCTGTGTGGCTTTGACCTGCCCCGGTACAATCTTTTTTTTTTTTTATTTTTTATTTTTTGCAGTATGCGGGCTTCTCAGTGTTGTGGCCTCTGCCGCTGCGGAGCACAGTCTCCGGACGCGCAGGCTCAGCACCCATGGCTCACGGGCCCAGCCGCTCCGCGGCATGTGGGATCTTCCCAGACCGGGGCACGAACCCGCGTCCCCTGCATCGGCAGGCGGACTCTCAACCACTGCGCCACCAGGGAAGCCCCCGGTACAATTTCATATGCCACAAAGCTGAAGCTATCAGAAAATGTCCAGCGTTGGAACGTGGTTGCTCCAGCTCCGGATTCTTGTAGAGCCCTAAGCCTAGAAAACAATTGCTGTCTAGTGGGGCCGGTGTACATGAGCCCTGGAGAACATAAGCTGCCCCAAACAGAGAGGGCTCATCCAGCTGCATCCAGAAGCCCTTGTGGCTCCAGGGGAAACGTAGAGTCAGAAGTTACTGGTTTCTTGGGCAGCCACTGGAAGTGCACAAACTGGGGTGGTCTGACATGATGGGACGGGTCAGCCCAGAGCTTGTGGAGCACGGTGCTGGCCCTGGAGCCAGGCCATCCTGGGTTCAATTACCACCTCTACTGCTTCCTCACTATATAGTCGAGGGCAAATGACACAGCCTCTCTGAGCCAGGCTCTTCACTGGTAAAATGGAGAACAATATAGTACTTATCTCGTGGGTTTCTTGGGAGAATGAAGTGAGTGAATCTTCCCAAGGGAGGTTCCACTATGGGACAGCATTCCTGGTTGGTTAAAAGGCATGTCTTAATTATCACCCCCAATACTACCAAAGGTCCACACAGCATGGCCCCCAGAGTCACCTTACCTAAAACTTAGCTCCTAAGTTCCCCCATAAAATTCTTTACCTCTCTGCTTCTACCTTGGTTACCTAAACTGAGAACCTCTATTTTCACCTCCCAGCTTGATCTTCCACACATCCTTCCAATAATCAAACCCTTGTGATTGCTTTCCACCTGTGTAATCTTAGACAAGTCACTTAACCTCTCTGGGCCTCCGCGTCATCACCTATACCATGAGGGATTTTGGCGAGCAAAAGGACCTCAGTCCTTGTCTTCTTTGAGGAAAGAATTCAACAAACAGACCAAGATTGTAAAGTGGGCACAGAGTTTATTAGAAGCACAGTACGTGTGGGAGAGCACACAAGCAGTTTACTTAGGGCAGAAGCAAGTTACACACTCGAAGGAGAAGAGTGGGGCGTCCTTGGGAGTGAGGGGCACGCAGTAGGGGCAGCTTAGGTCGTTAACATGGGGTTAATCTTCTGGGGCTTAGATGAGGGTGACTCCCCTTTTCCTCCCCTATGATTGTGTCATCGGCAGTTCCTCATTTGGACTTCCACCAGGCACCATTCTGAAACCTTCCCCTGAGCACCTAAGCGAAACCCACAGGGGTGGGGTGGGGTCAAAACGGCAATGCTAATGATATTATAATGATATTACAATACGGCCAGGGTTACTAGAGGGCGACTTGAGACCCCCCCCCCTCCCCCCCCCCCCGTGCATGTGTGGGGCTGAGAAGTCCTCTCTGAAGGCAAGAATGGGGAGGCTGCCGGTGGGCTCCTTTGCCTTTCATCCAGTCATCAGCCACCTGTGTGTTTTTATTGCACAGGCTCCACGGTTTTCATGGGCAGAGTTTCTTGCTCAGATGCTACAAAGTTTCCGTTTTGGATGCCATTCCTCCATGTGTCCTGGCCTCGTTAAGTGCAAAACAAGGAGGTGGCTTTGCCTTCTCCCTAATACCTATGCATGAAGAGGCTGTGCTTGGGGCCAGCCTTGAGTTTTCCTACCTCAAGAGGAGTAGGTGCTTAAACAGTAGCTTTCAAATCTCTTAAACCATTGAAGTCTTTCTCCAAACAGCCCCCTGAGAGGAAATCCAAGGTTTAAAACCACCCAGAGATTCAGGGTCTGAGATGAGGCCCAGAGATCTGTAGTTTTTACATCTTCCCAGGTGATTCTGATGGGCAGCCATCGGTGAATTCTTAGACCGGGCAAGTTCTCAACCGATAGTAGTGAACAAGAGTTGAACAAAGCACTGGCGTGCGTACACCAGCTCAGGCCAACTTGAACCTATTTCTCTTTTCAACTTAGGATACAGGTATATAATCCTTTTACCTTCTGGGTTGCCTGTTATTACTTGAAATTATTCCCTGATTTTATACAATTTAGAGTCCAAAAGACCAGCCAAGGTCCTTCCTGGATTCTGCTGTGGTCCAAGCATCCAGCTTGGACCTCTTCTTCTTGGTCCTTTAGGAGAAGGAAGGTGATAATGACCAAAGAGGGATTCAGGAAGAAATGTGTCAGAAGGGAAATGGGGAAAGAGGGTGAGGAAAGTGATGCTTGGCTACCAGGGAAGGACAGCAGAAGGGGTGGGGATGCGACCATCGGAGATGTTCATTCTCTGAATTGAAAGCGTCTCCATGAACTGTTGGTAACTGCTGGTCTCACTCATGCGCACACTAGTATTTATCCCCCACCAGATAGCACACAGTGTGAAGTTTAATCACCTACTACCATAGAGATGAGGCTGGAATTCTCAGAGAAACAGCCCTCAGTGAATCTGAACTGTTCTTACTTTTGAAGTCGTTATTACCTTGGGTTATGAGCGAATCAATCTCAGTGTTTTTTGAAATCTTCCAGGTAAACTTTCTTAAAAAAAAAAATTAAAGATTTATATTGGCATCCGAAGATATCTGGAGAATTCACAGGCGTAAAGGAGGTCAAAGGTCAAATATGATTTGGCTGGAGACAAAAGGCTTAATGATGTTTGTAGCCAGGGTAGAAATGTAGCAGTTCCAGTATTATCCTGTTTCTACGTCATTTCTATAGGACAGTGACATTTTAGCTTGGGTGACATTTTATGCACAATCAGAGGTTAACAGGAGGTGGGCTCAGCACTTAGCTTAGGAAATGAAACACTCTATTGAAGGGCATGTTCCCTTTTACTTACAAATGGTCTCTCAGAAACGAATAAGATTTTCTTTAAAATAGGCAAAAAGGCAAAAAAACAGATGTAAATGGAGTAGATGCAGCAAAACCTTGACAGTTGTTGAATCTGCATGATGGGTGTACCGGGTTCCTTGTACTCTCCCCTCTACTTTGGTTTGTTTGAAATCTTTCATAATAAACATATAAACAATGATTCATCTTTTCCTTAAAAACAACAAAAGAAATGTCTGAGCAAGTGTTTATTAAGTGTCTGAAATATGCCTAAGCTGCGCTGGGGCCATGACTGAGGCAGAACCTCCCCCAGATCTGCTGTAAAAATGGAAGTTTGTAGGTATTCTTCCCTTCAGTGGGCGTGAACAAAAGATCCACCTTTACCCAGGATCTAGACTGGTTATTTTTAAACAGTCTTTTTCCTTTTAAACCATGAAGTCTCCTGTTCAGCAAACTCTTAGGAGGAAACCAATATGTCAAATAGATAGAAGGGAGCTGCTGGGAGGGCAGGGGCATGTGCGTGTGTATATGTAGGCGTGTGCGTGTACATATGTGTATGTGCGCATGGGTGTGCACACACGCACACTGGGGAGTTGCAGCTCAGGGGTGCTACCTCCCCTCCCACCAGGGCTCCCGAGGAGATGCCCAGGGACCCTGGGTTTCCCGACCGTTGACTGAGATGCCCAAACTGGCCGTGTGCAAGACAGCTCTCGTTCCCCACTTGAGCAAAGAATGTGGCCGGCCTGAGATCTGCCTCTCTGGTCCCGTTTGGCCTTGTTAAAGAGATGAATGCGTCTGGCTGAGCACATCATAACCTCCACCACTCCCTTTGCCCACAGATATTGATTTCGCCACCCGCAAGATCGCCATCCATCTGGCTCAGACGAAGATCATTGAGCAAGACGGCGATAACTTCAAGACGAAAACCAACAGCACGTTCCGAAACTATAACTTGGATTTCACAGTCGGGGTGGAGTTTGACGAGTACACGAAGGGCCTGGACAACCGGAACGTTAAGGTACTGACCAGAGTGGAGTTTTCGTCCGCACGGTCCTGGTGCAGGGGCTGGCTGTTTAGGTGCACAATGAAAAAACGACAGAAACGACCTGGGAGGCGTCAGGAGAGGGGGACCAGAATGGACTTAATGATGCTGGCGATAAGCAAGTATTGAAAGCTTAGTGGGAAGAAGCAGGCTGGCTTCTGCGTGTAGCTTATAAGCCAAGGAGGGATTAAAGGATGCTGACCTCTCCAGGAGCCAGGGTAGGAGGCCAGCTCACACGCTGACATGGGCCTGGCAGGCAAAGCAAAGAGGCCAGGTGGGCTCGTAGGGAAGGACGTGACGGTGCCGGCAGGATAGCATAGCTTCATCCTGGGAGCAGCTCCTCAGCAGCAGACAATCACTGCCATGGAGGACTGAGGCCTCATGTTGCTAGAATTTTTTTTTTCTTTTCAGGAGCTGTTGAACATTCATAGGTTCTTATATGAAATATCTCAATTTTAGATGATTCCAACTGATTTAATTTTTTTTTTTTTTTTAGAAAAATGCAATGCAAATCACACCAAAAAATCAGTAGACTAGATGAAGTCAGGCTTTCTCCAATCCTAGAAACCCAGATAAATCTCTGGCAAGCTTATGGCTTCAGTCTCAGCCTCACCTTAACTCTCAGGACATAATCGAGGAAATCCTCCACGCATCAGAAGGCACACTTCTAGCCGCTTGAAGCTTTTGGATGTAGGGAGGCCCCTAAAATGAGCAGAGAACTCTGAGTGCAGAGTGGGCAGTTATCTCCAAGCCCGAGAACTGGAGTCTGCAGAGTAGGCAGGCCCTCATCCAAGGGGCTCTTTGTGAATAAGGCAGAGGTTGGTAGCAGCGGGGAGAAGTAGGGCAGTGGTGGGAAAGGCGAGGCCATCGGCAGGTCCCCTCTCCTCCTGCATCACCTGGAGGTATCACAGCCCAGTGACTGATTGCTGCACTGTCCACATTCACGCTCAGTGTGAACATCTTTGGTTTTCCAAATCCAATTACACCTGGGCAGTCCCAACAACAGAAATGGGGGAAAATCCAATCTCAGCCGCATTTAAGGATTCCCGCACCCAAATCTTAGCATCTATACAAGAACCCCGGGGACTGCACGATCCAGTGCAAGCCCATGTGGTTTATACAGGAGTGGGCAGCTTGAGCCCTTGTGGCACCCACTCCCTCTGTGCCAACGCAGCCACCAAGACCTCTGCCCTGGCTCCCAAGCTGAGGAGGGCCGGGCTGAGATTCCTGTGCCCAGGTATCCGTGCTCTCAAGCCTGCAGAGGGCCACCCTCTCAGAGCACCACAGCGAAGCAGGGCCCTCCACCCTGCCCTTCCCCTTTCCCCATGAGCCCCACTCCCCCCAGAGCCCCACTCTTCTCTGGTGCTTCCAGGAGTTCCTTCCAAGTCGACGTCTCAACTCTTCCCCCAAAGCTCTGGCTGCTCTCCCGGGGTGGGGAGGAAAAGCTGTCATCATTCTTTGGGGATGATTCTAAAGCCAAAAGAGCAGGACACATTTTATTTCTCAATCAAGTTGTCCTGCCACATTGATCATCTCAGCCAATGAGTCAGGGTTGAATGACGTTTGGGCTCCTTGAAAAGAAAAGTGGGAAATGGAAAGGCCTTTGGAAATGCTTCCATCAAACCAGTCTTGGCAGGAGACGCGAAGCTCCCGAGCTCCGGAACGGCCCCTTGTAGAATCCCGCCCCGAGGAGTTGCTGGATCGGCAAGCTTTTCTGAGCTGTGTGGCTGCGAGGCCAATTCATCAGACACCAGAAATGATAGGAAAATTTGTCTCAGAATTTTTGCAACCCTCTGCTGTTCTAACCTAATCAGTTCCAAATGATCCATTTTCCCCTTGCTTCTCAGTTTGGGGCGTGGGCTATTGAAAAGCAGGCCTGTCCTCTCTGACTCATTTTTTATCACCTTTGATGGTGGAGAACTCACTCTTACTGAAATAAGTCATGTCCTTTTGGCCCTTCCTGACCCTTAAAGGGTTCCATCTGTTAACACCTAGGCTTCTGCCTCTCCCTTCCATGCTCTGTCCTCTCTGAGTGCCATCCTCTCTCCAGGATCGGCTCTTAGCCCTGCAGAGAGAGATAATCCCCTTTCTCACTTCTGGTGTCTGCTTTGCCTGCAGCAAAAAGCCAGGGCTAATAAACACACACACACACACACACACACACACACACACACACACACACACGAGACTGAGAAGTACTCAGACAGAATTTGCCCAGCCTCCAGCAAAGGGTTGTTCCCATGAGAATCACAACACAGAGCAGGTGCCCTTGGCACTACCTTCTTCCTGTGACTTGACTGCAACCCTTTAGCTGGAGAGGCACGGCAGGGAGTGGGTGAGTCTATCCCTCTGATTAATTTCTGTTGCCCACCCTTGGTGGCACACCCAAGTGCACAAAAATCTTGCGTCTGTGTGCACATGTGCACTTGCGTGTGCATGTAGTGCTCCTCTACTCTTGTTCTCCAGGACTCCACTTCTTAACTCCTTGGTCACCCTCACGGGCCCCTCTGAAAGAGGGGAGACAGATATTCATTCAATCAACATGCATTAGGTGTCCTTGATGTGTAAGACCATATGGGCTGGGGGACTGGAAGACACAGACCTTGCCCAAATAGAAAATGTGAGTCCTTTCTCGTCTACGTGGGAGGGATCTCTGGAATATTCCAGACAACATCTCGCTTCCAGAAGAGGAAAGAGAACAACCTATGAATTAAGCTTCTCTAAGACATTCGAAACTGTGAGGCTTAAGATGGTCCTAAAGGAGGAGGAGACATGTTTTCTTTAGAAAACATGTAGAATTTTACTTTTAAATTAATTTGGGGAATATTAATACATATGCATGCTTTAAAAAAAAATTAAACACTAAAAAGTGAAACTTCCTTCCTATCCTGGCCCCCAGCTCCTTAGTTCCCTCCCCAAGGGACAATTACTATTAAGGGTTTTTTTTGCCTCCTTGGAGAGAACGTGTACAAACATATGCATGCATCCCCACTGCTCCTTTCTTTTATGCACATGGCCCTCCTCCTTGCTTTTTTAACTTAAACTATACACTATGGAGACTGCTCTTCTCTGTAAGTGCAGAACTGCCTTCTCTTTTCAAGGGCTACAGAGCGGGGAGGAACCACACCGTATTTAACCAGTCGCCACTGATGCAATTTATTTGGTTTCCAGGCCTTTGCTATAACAAACAACACTGTGATGGGCTGAAGAGTAAAATAAGGAGGAATAAAATTGTACCTAAAATATATAATTTGGTCAAGGTCAAATATTGCTTTAGAAACAGGTAGACTTAACAATCTGTAGAAGACAGATATCTACCAAAAAACAGACCTGAAGTGAATTAAAAAAAACCAAAAACACAGGTTCGTTTATCACCAACTGGGTTTGCAAGATAGGGAGGAAAATAAACACCTGGTCCTTAGCATAATATTGTTCATAGAGGTGTAATATGGTTTGCACATACTTGGAAGAAAACCGACTCACATCAGGATCATCCCCGAGAAAGGGCAGCACCAAGACACCACCACTGCCCGGATGGGAATGATACCGTCAACCTCACATGCAAGCCTAACGTGGGCACAGAGGTGGGTGGCCTTGAAGGACCACTTAGGGATAGTACACATCGTCCCTTGGCAGGTACTAAGACAGGAGGAAGAGGAACTGGGGCAGGGTGTGAAATTTGTAAATATGTAAATTTAGTAAGAGGGGTTAGAGCCTCTTGTGGTTCAGCCTCTTGTGGCTTCTCCAACCTGCTGGTCAACTCGGCCTGGTTGTCCAGCACAAGCTCTGCATCTCTGCTGCCTTCCCTGTGCTAATTGATCAGCATTGCTGCCTGGAGGAAACCCAGGACCAGGAGAAGGTCCATCTCCCGGTTCTGGCTTTGGAGCCATATGTGCAGCCCCCTGCTAACTAGGTAGCTTCCCTGCCTTTATTATTGCCCTACGGTGGGCAGTCCTCACAATGTGTTTCCTGTAGGGAAAATTCTCAGAAGTAAAATTTCTAGGTCAAAGAGTATACACAATGTTATATTTTGAAAGGTAATGTAAAATTGCCCTGCAAAAAGATTCATACCGATTTATATATGCACCAGCCCTGTATGAGGGTCCATGCTTCTCTGTACCCCCTCCAACCCAGCGTGTTATTAGACTCTTTGATCTTTGACCACAGGATGAATTGTATCTGAAAAACAAACAGACTTAACTTGCATTTCTCTTGTTATAAGTGAGGTTGAATATATTTTCTTATGTTTAAAAGCCAACTGCTAGGGTGTTTGTTTTGTTTTGTTTATCCTTGTAAGCTGTTGGTTTGGTGTCCTGTGTTGAAATTCCTATTAGGTTAATGATCTTTTCCTTATTGATGTACAGGTGTCCTTTGTATGTAAGGAAATCGGGTCTTTGTCTGATATGTGTTACAATTATTTTTCCCAGTTTGTTATTCACCTATTGACTTTGAGGTATCTTTCCCTTCCAGAAATTTTACATTGTGACATAGTTCAATTCATCATCTTTTCCCCCACCGATTTGGAATGCTGTCTTTATCATATGGTAAAATGGAAGAGTAGAAGTCTTTCAAAGAGAACAGAACCGGCCAAGATGAGTCGGTCTGGCTAGAATGAAGGGCGTATGTGGAAATGAGGCTGGTGGGATGCTGGCGTGGCTGTGGCCGAGAGCTCTGCTCTGGGGACGGAGCAGAAGCCCAGGAGTGGCTGCAGGAACTGCAACTGCAGGTTTACATGTGTTCAGTCCCCATCAAGACCATACATTTGATTTGCCTGGAAACCTCTCATTACAGACTCTGATCACCTGGGAAGGTGATGTCCTCGTGTGCGTGCAGAAGGGGGAAAAGAAGAACCGAGGCTGGAAGCAGTGGGTCGAGGGGGACAAGCTGCACCTGGTAAGTCCCCAGCTCCCCTCCACTCTGCTATGCCAACCGCCGGTTCACCCAGCCAGGCGCTTTGACGAGAAAAAACGGCCTTGCCCTCCTCCCCTAAGCTCCAGCCAAATGCGTGTGGTCAAATGCGTGAGCCATTCCCATCTGGCTCAGGGGACTCCAGGAGGAAATCTATATGGCTGTTTCTGTGAACGGCTGAAATTAAAAGGAAAGTTCAAGATGCTGAGTTAGGAAGCCGAGATCCAAGGAGAAATACAGGGAACCTGTCAAAGGTCAGCCGGGGAGAAATGCGAGGCACAGAGTTAAGATGCCCTGGAGGAGGGTGAGACCAGGCCTCCTCAGTGATGTGAGCCTAGGAAGGAGAGGGGTTGCCGTGGGCTCTGGATGCATGGGAGCGGGTTGCACTGGGAACTGCCTGTAGACCGCAGGCACTGGCCTCACATCCTAAGCTATGTCCACCTGATCCCAAAATATTTTAGTTTAATTTGACACCGGAACAGAGCAGTTGGAATAAATTATTTCTGATTTCCTTGTATAAATTATACCCGTCTACATAGCTTAATTTTTCACTCTTCAGTCTTTAAGGCAAGTGATTTGTCCAACATTCAATAGTGAAAGATCTTTCCCTCCTTCATGCATTCAGCCACTCGCTTGTTAAATGAATGGCTCATTTAATGGATGGCTCTTTATTCATTCACCTGTGGAGTCAAGCAGGTACCTGGCTCTAGTGTCAGTATTCATGTCACAGGGTGCCCTTCAGAGCCAGCCTTGCCTCACCTGAGTTCTTTATTTCAGAGACAATGTCAACTGGTGATAAATGGGAAGCAGTCACTGTTTTCCATCGACAGTTTTCCCTACCTGCTCCGGTTTGGAAGGTGGTTTTTTTTAATTGTAGTACAAACCCCAGCTGTCCCTGTGGCTAAGCCAGGGGATTCATCATCAACTGCAATGATTTTTGTGGTCGTTCCCACACTCGTGTTTTTCCTCTCCTCCCTCAAAGGGTCACGAGGCGCAGATAAGGCCTGTGGGCTCCCTCTGTCCAGATGAAAGGCAGCATCTTGTCTGCCCAGGCAGGCCTGGGGGAGCCCTTCCGCAGCCCATGCCCTGTCATTGCCTGTGCTGCCACCAACCAACGTTCTCATCACCAGAGGCCAGAAAATCCCCAGGGTGCAGGGACAGCTCACCAGGCCCTTGCCTTCCAAATGCTCCCCACTAGATCCTGCCCTTCTTTGTGGCTTTGCTGCCTTTTATAAATTAAGCGATGTTGCTTTAATTACGAGAGTAGGAGAAATCCTGCTCAAGAGGATAATTTCTTTGCATTTTTCATTTTTATAGTTGTTCAAGCTCAATTCAAGTGTCAAAATCAAATTACTGCTACCTGCAGGGCACGCCAGCTGATTGGGTCTCTGAGAGGCTCTTTGCGCAGAATGACTGAGTGTCCTCTTTATTCCGGCTCCTCCCCCACCCCAACTCACAGACACCCAGAGGGCTGGGGGTGGGTGGAAGGAAGGCCTGGCTTGTTAGTCACTCACCTGCTTCTGATGTTGCAGGAGCTGACGTGCGACGACCAGGTGTGCCGTCAAGTGTTCAAGAAGAAGTGATGGCCGTGAGAAGTGGGCCCCTTGTCCCCAGCTTCCCCAGAGCCTCTCGAGGAGCCCCATGTCTCCGGATGACCCCTCCCAAGTCTCGCCTTTGCTCACCACAGCCTCAAATGACCCTCAAAAGCACGCGCTCCATGCTCCCCGTGAAGAGCTCTCTGCTGGCTTTGGGGAGCAGCCGCAGGAACCCCCTATTCCTGATAGAGCCCATGGAGGCACCTGGATGGGTTTTAAACAGAACGAGTATGTGACAGACATAGTCAGCCTTCCTTGAAAACTGGCATTAAACGAGAAAACAAAAATCACTCCCATACTTTGAAACCCTTCCATCTATTCCCCTGTATTTCTAGAACTGTCACTTTTATCCGCAAGCAGAAGAGGTCATTGCCTGCATGGTGGTTTTCTGTGCAGCTTTTGTTGTTTAGTTTTCAGTTTAGTTTAGCTTCGTTTCTTTGTCGTTAGTTTGGGTGTAGGGGTTGTTTTACCTGGAAGCACTCTCTGGCCAGCACAACGTATCCCCTGCTAATTCGTGGACATTGCCTATTGGAGATTCTTTCCTATGGGTAGCACATTTATTTCTCCAAGGTCCTATTTTAGGAAGCATATGCTTTCCAGTTTGCACTTCCCCTTAAGCAGCCTGAGTGGCTCTAACCTCTAAAGGCCTCTGCAGGTCTGCAGTATCATCTGCTTTTGGTCCAGGCCAGTCCTTTGCCCTTCAACCCTGGGCAGACTTTCACCCCTGCAGAGGGGTCACCAAGCTCTGCCAGGTAGCCTTAGTTCAAGCCCTGTGCTCCACTTCTTAGCTGGGTGACCATAGGCACATCATTTGGACTCTCTATCCTTGTTGATGTCTTCTATAAAATGGAGGAGACAAAAATAGCATCTCCTCCACTGGGATGGGTCTCTGTGAGGATTAAGTGAGTTACCACGTACAGAGTGCTTGGAACAGGACCTGGTACGTGGTGAGGGCTCAGTCCCCACTAGCTCTGGTCATTGTGTGGATCTGCCCCCTCCACCACTTTTGGGGTCCAGATGAGTGGATGCCCAGTAGCAGTAGGTCAACACCTCCGAGACTTCCTGCTGCTTCCAGAACATCAGGTTCGTTACTCCGAGGAAGCACTGTATTTTCCTGCTGGATATGCAAATGGAATAGTGCACCTGGAACAGGAGAGTAGTTAATAGGGATGGATTTATGCTGGATCCTTCATGGGATCCTGAGAAGGCACTGCAGGTCAGAGCCATCTCTGTATCCTTCTGTAGCAGAGCCTGGAATCCCACCATTAGACAAGCACTGCCTTTGAAAGGTAGGTTCATGCCAGGAGGGATAGCAGGTGGTATTAGCACCCTCTGGTATGATTTTTTTGTGTGTGTGTGTGTGGTACGCGTGCCTCTCACTGTCATGGCCTCTCCAGTTGCGGAGCACAGGCTCCAGACATGCAGGCTCAGCGGCCATGGCTCACGGGCCCAGCCGCTCCGCGGCATGTGGGATCTTCCCGGACCGGGGCACGAACCCGTGTCCCCTGCATCGGCAGGCGGACTCTCAACCACTGTGCCACCAGGGAAGCCCTCTGGTATAATTTGAACGATCACTGATCCTGAACATCCTAAAAGGAGAGAAAGGCTGTCAGCTGCCCACGTGACCCAGGGCCAGCCTTTGCTCAAGTGCTTGTGACAGGCGGCCGCGACGTGGACCTCCTGGCAGGCCGTGCTCTCCAGCAACCATTGCCATGTCCAAGAAAGTGCCTGGTGGGGCCTCACGCTGGCTGAGGACCTAGGGGAGGTGTGGTCCTCTCTCAGGTGCCGGGGAGGGCGAGCCTCCTGAGGAGGTGCAGGCCCGTCTCCTGGGGCAGACCAGGGACCAAGTGGAGGGACTGTTGAAGTGGGCCCCTTGTCCCCAGCTTCCCCAGAGCCTCTCGAGGAGCCCCATGTCTCCAGATGACCCCTCCCAAGTCTTGCCTTTGCTCACTACAGCCTCAAATGACCCTCTCCTTTGTCGCTCAAGAAAACTCTGTTGAACGAGACCATTGAGGACTAGCTAAAAAGTGTTCTGCACATGTAAGGGGTTATATTTATTAGTAATATTTGATCCTAGTTTTTGCAAAGTATATTCTAGGGAATGTTAGCCACTCAAGATTCTGCAAAACGGTTCATGGTCAAATGAACGTCGGAAATGCTGAGGACTATATCGCCTTCTTAGAAATGTACAGTGAGCATTAGTGTGTTTAAAGCCCTGAAAATTCCTGTAGCAAAGAAGCCCGGCCTTAAACCCCAGGACCCCCTTCACCCTGCAGCGTTTCCTGTCCACAGGGTGTTTTGGAAACACTGCACATCTGCATTCAATGAGAGAAAACAAACAATATCATTTAAAACTCCCCTTTCCCAAGTGGGATTTTCTCAGTATATTTTCTTTCCACAAAGCAAGAGTAACTGAATTACTTTACATATGGTATGAAAGACTGGTTGTGGCAGTATTCATTCTACTGACCCTTCTTTCTCAACTAAGATGCATCTGAACTCATCAGAAGTAGTCAAGATGGAGGTACCCATTTTAAAGCAAGGGCAGGTATTTGGGGCCAGGGCTGGCCTCCCAGTCCTGCACCCACTGCGGATAAGGTAGGGCAAGTCCCCTGCCTCCTATTCCTGTTCCCTCAGCCTATTTCAAAACCAAATCATGACAGGAATGCCTCACCCTGATACTGACAAGGCTGTCTGGGGACAGAGTGGAAGGGGTCACCTTGGTGGGAAAGGCACCCAGACCTTCAGGACCCCAGCCTCCAAGGGTTGTCAGGAGAGAGACTGGGGTTAACATAAACCAGGGGGCCTGATCTGTCCCATGAAAATCCCAGTGCACACCTGGGCAGTGCCGCTGAGTGGTTTAAGCATGGACTTCTCTGTCAGCCCTTGGATCAAATCCTGCCCCGCCTCTCTCCAGCTGTGTGACAGTCTGGCAGTTACTTTCCCCCTCTGAGCCTCTGTTTGTCCATCCGCAAAATGAGGAATAAGGACTGTGATTCATAAGGGGTAGTCAGGATTGAATAAGATCTTAGCACGGTAACCGAACCAACAGTCAGTTACCCTTATTACCTACCCTCAGTGCTCTGTATCCGCAGGTTCTGAATTTAGATCCCCGCTTGGTTGAATCCGTGGGTTCAGAACCTGCCAATGCAGAGGGTCAACTGTATTATGCCATTTCATATAAGGGATTTAAGCATCCACGGACTTTGGTATCCGTGGGTAGCCTGGCACCAATCCCCTCGGATACTGAGGGGCGACCACATGTGTGTGTATATTACGTATACACATACACACATATATATATATATATACACATTCTCCACCCCAATCCCACATATCTATACATACATACATCATACATAATGAGATAGTGATTCCCTTCATTAAAACTCTTTGCTTTCTAAAAGCTTCAACACTGAGATCCTTACTACAGTCCCCAGATGGGAAGATCACTAGTAAGACTTACTAAGAAGACAGATTCCTGCCCCCCGACACCCCTTCCGAGATTCTGGCTCTGAGGTCACGGGCAGGGTCCAGGCACGTGTGTGCTTACACGCTCCCTAGGTGAGCGCCCTCAGGTGCTTGGCAAGCACGCTGACAAACCCTACGTTGTTCAGGTAAAGCATGATTCACTTTAAACGTGTACCCACCCACGTGTCACCCACGAACACCCTCAAGCAAAAGCCGGGTCTATCTCTGCAGGTGGCCAAAGGTCACGTGACCCACCCACACGTTTTTTTTCCTGCCATATGGAATCGGGGCCGCTGCCTGTGTGGCTGAGCCCTGTAGCAGAAGTGACGGCACACTTTCTGGAGCTGCTGTGTGACAGGGGACGCACTTGGGCCCTGGAGGATGGCGGTGGGTGATGGAGACAGGGCACTGCGGAGAAGGAAGTGACGTGAACAAAGTCAGGGGGCGGAAAAGGCAAAGCGGGCTGGGGTGGGGGGAGCGGAGCACCTGCCGTGAGGGTCAGTGAGGAGGCCGGGTGCGGAAGGTGTTAGTCAGCCGAGAGAGGTTGTAGAGGCCTTGCTGGGCCTCATGGGAGCATCATGGGGGCCGGTGCAGCTTCTGAGCAGCAAGCGATGTGATCCGATTCATGCACCAGGAGTAATGCTCGGCCACTGTTGGCAGGACGCGTGGAGGCGGGCAGAGGGACTCAGGATTACCTGCTCAGAGGCCGTTACAGTGTCACTCCCAGGAGAGGCTGCGAGGGACCCACCTCAGGGCCAGGGAGTGGTTGCAGGGAGGGAGGGAGGGAGGTGAGAGGTGCTGCGAGGGGCCCCTGCACTAGGTGATGGCTGCACAAAGCTCCTAGAGGAGGTGAGGCAACAGGATGGTGTGAGTTTGGGGAAGAGGGGAAGGAGGAGCCTCAATGCGGCTTAGCAGTTGGGGGGTGGGGGTGGGGAGTGGGGCCAGAGGGAAGGTCATGGGTTTGGGTTAGGCCTGCTGCACATGCGGTGACAGAGCAGTGATGGCAAAGCCCACACGCCTCTCCCATTACCCACTGCCACCCTCCGATGGCCAAGTGTCACCCCCTTCATCTTACCTTCCTGCTGGGGTGGGAGGCTGGGCTGGGGCTGGAGTGGCCAGCTGTCACAGACACTCATGAGGCCAGGAAGTGATGATGACACCAGAGGGAGGGGAGGGGGGAGGGGAGGAGAGGGGAGGAGG